CGCCTAAAGTTCTCTCACCTGAAGAGCTTGTGATGATGGCAAATGTGCTATGCTCTTCTTATAGAGGTCAGTTAAATGTTCTGGGGGAGGATGTCCTTTCTTTATGGTTGTATTTCTTGCCTTAACATTGACTAGCTCTACCTCCTGGCACACACCCAACAATGCCCCATCCTTATCTGTCTGCTCACATTTAGAGAAATTAGCCACTGTTATAGGTACTACTTGATGACCTGCCACAAGTAACCTTCCAATCTTCACGTCTGCTGGCCTGGATGGGTCTTCCACTGCTACCACAATCATTGAGCTTCCTTGGGGATGTTCTTTTATTCTACCCCAAATTATCTTCTCTGACATTGTAGTTGACTTAAGTGCTGTCACATGCAAATCAACAGATGCAGCAACACTTACAGAAATTTGGCCTTTGTTGTTCCCAAACGACATTTTAGCGAATTTAACTACCCACTTCCTCGGTAGTAAGTAGTCCGACCCTAATTAGCATTGGTCTTCAATGTCAGCCAAGTATACTTTGTGTCTGTCCTTCATGCCCATGAGCTCAATAGTTACCCACACTTGTCCCCACAACCTTGCATAATATCCTGTCACACCACAGAGCTTCTGTATGACTTCTGGTACTCCTTTGTGATCCAGCACCTTGATGCTCACAAGGATTTGCTTAGATGCAGAATCTATGACAAAGTTGCACATTTGGCCATACAGATTTCCTGTCACGTAGACACTATGTGTGCTTGCCATTTCGCACTTAGCTGTTGGGACTTTCAGGATGGGGTTGATGGGCGTCCCTCAACACCAACCACTACTGGTTTCCCCGAGGCTGACTTATTGATAGTATTCTTCTTGCACTGGCTCCTCATATGTCCTTGCTCTCCACAGTTCCAACAACCTTTCTGGGTAGCAACCTTTCCTCCTGTTGCATCTTCCCTTTCTTGAAGTTGACGGCATTGAGCTTTTTTGTGTGCCCAGGTTTGTGACAGTGCCAACAAAGTCCCTCAAACCTCTCTGAAAGCTGACCTTGAATCCTGATGACTGTACCAACCTTGGTACCTCTGTGCTAGACTTAACATAAGACTCGAATTCAGGAGCTCTGGCTATTGTATCCTGCATAGTAGAGGGGTGTACTTGTTTTACTTGTATCTTCAGTTGTTGACTGTCCAAGGTGAACTGATCTCTCAGCAACAACTTGAGGACATCAGGTGGCACAGTTGGGTAGGCCTTGTGTGCCATACTTTCCAAGTCCTGTGCCAGCTCTTGCAGG